AGACGGGGCGCCCCCAGCCCAGCCCAGCCCCCCCGGGGCGCTCAGGAGGAAGGGGAAGGTCTAGGCCCTGCTCCTCGGTCCCCGGTGCCCACGCTCAGCTCGAACAGGGCCCTCCGTGTTCTTAGCGCTGGGGCACATGGCTAGGCTTGGGCCTGCCCCGGGTTGTTGGTGAGTCACACAAACAACGATTCGGTGGCGCGCGGTAGAGACAGCAGCGGAAACCCGGCGGAGGAGAGGCTTCCCTCATTGGTGTTGCTGTAGAGGTTTTCGGTTTGTCAAAACTAATATTCAACTTGAATGATCTCGTGTCTGATGGCGCCGGGGTTTATTCTCGTTCCTGTGTTATAATAAAGAAACAGAATGGTCTGAATCGAGGCTTAGTTATATATTAGCTGTGTGACCGCGGGCCAGAAGGGGACCTAAACTGTGATTTTTCTCGTTTGTGTAACGGAGGGAGTAATAGGACTTGCTTCGTGTGGTTGTGGGAGTCTAGCATCAGCTAATGCATTGGAAGGGCTTAGCACGATGCCTGGCACACGGTAGGAGTCACTAATTGTTACTGTTATTGTGACGACCGACCCAGGCTCCTGCTTCCAGTGGGATGTGGCGGAGGGCTCACTGAACCCTTTGCTCCTGGTCCTCCATTCCAGCACTCTGCATTTCACCCCGACTTCAGTTATACTCTTTTCCGGTTTCTAATGCAAGGCACTGGTGGACGTTGAGAACTGTACACAGATGGAAAAGCCGTGGTCCTGGCTTTTGAGAAAGTAATGGTAGGAGTCCGGCAGGAGAGGAAGTGCAAGTTCACAGACTACTGTAATACAAGGTGGGATGTGACAGTGTCGGGAAAGTTACAGTCTGGCTGGATTTTAAAGGAAGACATGGGTCTAATTGGAAAACGCTACGTGGAAGAGGACTTTGGAGGTGGTCCTTGAAGGCTCAGTGGAAAGAATCAGAAGGAAATGGAGGTTAGCGTTTTTAGATCTCTCCGTAACCCATCTGAGGACCACACTCCCCTTCCCCTTACCCCAGTTAAGAAGCCTGGTTCTAAAGCATGTAGAATAAATCTTGAAAGTTTATGTGTGTGTGTGCCTTTGTTTTGTTTTTAAGTATTATCCTGCTGTCAAAGTGAACCTAACCTTGAGTGTCATTGGCAGGTTTAATTCATGAGCGGGAGAGAGGAAAAGCTGGAGGGGGGTGGGAAATGAAGGAACGAAACAAGCAGAAGGGGAAAGGAGAAAAAACCAAAATTCAAACTTAAGAATATGTATGCTATGGGGCATAGTGTCCTCTCCTCTCATATGACCTTGATGTTGCTCCTCAGCTCCTCCAGGGCTGCGGGCAGTCAGATAAGAAGGCTTCTGTCATTGCTGGGGACATGCAAGTGCCCTTTTAACCAATTGGCTCAGTCTGTCCTAGAAGGGTAATATGGAGCTGCAGTTTAGGATTGGCTATATGTTAGCATGTGTTTGACTCTGGTGGTGTTTATGGAAATTCAGAATTTAAATTTGGAGAGGGTCCTAACACCAACTTTCGTATTTGTTTTCTGCAGATGGCAGGTTTTCCATAGTATATCTAGTATGAGTCCTACATCTCAGCCTCCTATCCAGCTTGAGCAGTCTCAGCTGCACTGGCTAGCGAATAAATGGTATTGGCATGAATTCCCAAATGAACTGAAAAACAGACAGCGTTGTTAATATCCTTTTCTTCTAGTTGTTGCTAATAGGTACTAACTGACCTCAAATAGAACATGTCACTGTGTCTCAGATAGGGATGTCGTTTAAGCAGAGCCATCAACTTCTGGGGAAAAAATTATTTTTTGAAAATGGAATCATTTAAAATGAATTTTTAAAATTGCGTAGTGCCTTTTATAATGTGAAAAACCATGTCCTAAGTTTTCTGTTTTGTACATTTCGATTTAAAAAATATTTTAGTTGAGAGGGAGCATATTTACAAGTGCAATTATTGTTCAATATTTTCATTGACAGAATGGTAATATTTTTGTTGTTTTGTTAAAGTAATTTTTATAGATTCTCATTGCATATTCTATCCACATTTAAATTATCAGAAATTGTGCTGCATCTTTAGTCACTGAGATTAAAAAAGCAATGATTCAGGCCAGCTCGTGGCTCACTCGGGAGAGTGTGGTGCTGATAACACCAAGGCCATAGGTTTGGATCATATGTAGGGATGGCCGGTTAACTCAGTGGCTGAGCATGGTGCTGACAACACCAAGGCAAGGGTTAAGATACCCTTACTGGTCATCTTTAAAAAAAAAAAAAAAAGAAAGCATTGATTAACACTTTAATTGTAGCATATTTTCACTCTTAGTGTTACCTAAAATAATGGTAAATCTTCAAATTGATGACCTTTTAGATTTGACAAAATCTGTTATTATTTCAACAATTTAATATTGTTTGCTGCTTTCTCAGTTCTCTAACTTTCTCATACAGTGTCTGTGCCCGTAACATCCTCTCCAAGAGGGTTTTCTCAACTGACAGCAGTCTGCCCCCTCAAGGGACATTGGGTATATCTGGAGATGTTTTTGATTGACACAACTCTTAAGGGGGGCACTAGTGACTTCTAGTGGATAGAAGCCAGGGGTTATACTGTTAAACATCTTACAATGCATAGCACAGTCCCCCACAACAAAAACTTATGAGCTCCAAATTGTCAAAAATGCTGAGGATGAGAAAACCTGCCTTGGAGATTCCTGTGGATTTTGAAAATTCACTTATTTTTGGATGTATATCAAATATATTTTGTATCCTCTTGAGATTAAGTCACTTTGGTAGCTTCAGTGGACATGTAAAAGTAATTTGTGATTTGTCCTTTTTAAAATTTTTTTTAAAATTGTGCTTTTTTCCCTAAATCAGTCATAAAATACATAACTAGTAAAGTCTGCAGTAAAAGCACCACAATCATCCTTTTGAAAAAATTATTATTGTGGCAAAGCTAGTGGGATGTTATATATGGCTGTGATTTTTAGTTTAGCAGAAAAGTCAGAGTATCCATTAATCCTTTGCAGTTGTTTGTGGAGCTTTTTTAAAAGTGTCATTAAAATTTTTTCAACTCTGTGCATTGTCTATTCTTAACTGATTTGAACAATTCTCTTCAGTTCCTCAGAAAATTAAATGTCTTCAGAAGACCGAGAAGCTCAGGAGGATGAATTGCTGGCCCTGGCAAATATTTATGATGGAGATGAATTTAGAAAAGCAGAGTCTGTCCAAGGTGGAGAAATCAGGATCTATTTGGATCTGCCACAAAATTTCAAGATATTTGTGAACGGTTAGTTAATATTTTTTGATACTGCTATTCCTGGGCCGAGCCCGTGGCACACTCGGGAGAGTGCGGCGCTGGGAGTGCAGCAGCGCTCGCGCCGCGGGTTCGGATCCTATATAGGGATGGCCGGTGTGCTCACTGGCTGAGCGCAGTGTGGCCGGTCTCAAAAAAAAGGACAAAAACAAAAACATATACTGCTATTCCTGAATAAAGATTATTCTCAATTTCTTAATTTATCTTAAATGATTTGTCACTTTGTGTTTATAGGCTTTAGTGACAAATGGCAGTATTACAGATGTAACACATCTTTTTAAAATGAAAATTAGAATGGGGTAAGCTGTTTTCTGTTTTATTCCATCTTTTTGCCCACTGAATTGAGATATTATCCTGCCTATTTCATGCATTCTAGAATTATTCTAACTGGCAGTTTATCAGCCATGAGTCATTGGCTATTAAATTGGGATAATCAAAGAGCAAACGAAATAATGTATGGAAAACCACTTGGGAAAAGCTTCACAGTACCATGGTGGTGGTTAATACTGTTTGGTTTCCAGAATCATTTCAACTACTGTAAACACCTGACACAGGCTGTTATTCTGTGACCTTTTGCTTCAGGAAAAACAAAACTGCTGCTTTTGATACAAACATTCACAGAAGACCTTGATGCACACTTAACTCAAAATGTTTCTACTATGAAGGCATTGAGTACAGAACATGAGTGTGATCATTTAAATGCAGCTTTGATTGTAAGAGTGCTATATGCTGTATCATGCCCTCAAGCCTGAGATCATTGTGTGGGCACAAATTTTCCCAACTATGATTTATGGATAGTTTGCACATGCTGGTCTAACTAGGCCGTGGCTGTTTGATAGAAATCAACATCCTTTTCTTTAGATTGTGTCTTTAATCATCTACTGTAAACCAACAGCGATTCAAAACATTGTGTATTACTTGGTCTTTTATGTTAGAAATTGTACTCAGAAGTAAATATAAGAATAAGTTGTGTATCTTCATTATATATTCCATGGTGCTTAGTAGATTTTTCAAGGGCTTATGAGATTTTTTTTGAAGGTGGCGGCTATGAAATTAAAATTAGGAAATAGAAAGTGCTTTGGGGGAGGGTTTTTATCCCCTCAACTAAAGCATCAAGTTTTTCTTGAGCACTGCTCTACAGTAATGGACACTCAGGTGTTGACCAACTGATCCTTTCTAATGTTTGTTTTTGGTTCAGGCAATTCAAATGAGTGTCTCCAGAATAGTGGCTTTGAATACACCATTTGCTTTCTGCCTCCACTTGTGCTGAACTTTGAACTGCCACCAGATTATCCATCCACCTCCCCACCTTCATTCACACTTAGTGGCAAATGGCTGTCACCAACTCAGGTTAGACCGGAAACTTAATTTCTCCTATCCATTTTGAAAATCTTAAAAAATCATCTTTAATGACTACCTTGATGATCTAGAAATCGGAGCATGAAGAACAGATGGGTTTGATTTTATAATTTTTTTCCCTTGCCTTCATGAATTTTAATGTTAATGAACTGAAACTGGTGTTTTAAAAAGGAATGGCAGTTATTAGAATGATTAATCATTATGAATTGTAGCAAGAGTAAGTTTTAATCAAGTATATTGTTTCTTGTTTTGCTATTCATTAATTAATATTAATGTAATGGAAACTATGAGATCTTCCTCATTTTTCTTAGATGTTGGTGTTACTTTTTTTTTTCCTTCAATAAAAGATTTAATAGTAATTAGGGCTTAACATTGAGCTAATGTAGCTATAATCAGCAAATTTCCTGAGTAAATATAAGTACTTTTCTTTTTTAAAATCTGTATATTAGTAACTAATATGTGTTGATTGCTGTCATGTAAACATAAATGCACACAAATACAAAATTGTACAATTTCTGTAGATATCTCATTAAGGCTTGAAATCTTATATTAAGAGCCTTCATTTTCTCTGGGTTATATATCCTTTTCTAGTAACAACAGCAACTCTTGATTGATACATAACTATGACTTGAAGCTAAGGTATTCTGGGATAGGTCATGGATCAGTAGCAGCTACTTTTCTAGAAGTTATGATGAAGATTGATAGGCTCATGTATATTAAGATGAAAACTGTCAGACTGCTTACCTCAAGGAATAGCTTATCAGATTTTCCCTTTTGATCACATAGTTTTCATTTCCCCACCCACCAGTCTAATCTTTTTTTTTTTTAAAGATGACCGGTAAGGGTATCTTAACCCTTGACTTGGTGTTGTCACATCAGTTGTCCAATCATAACTTATCAGTACATATTTAAGTTAGTGGCTGTGCGGGGTTTTGTTGGTAGCACTACACAGGAAGGAACAGAAGACGTCCTTTTTTGCACGTTATTTAAATTTACAAAATTTGTTGCCCATCTGGAAGGCTTATTTATGAATGTTTACCTAAAAAAGAAAAGCAGCTTATAATTCTTTAGCTCTGCTTACAAATAAATATGTTACATTTCTGATAGAAAATCCTCTCATATTTGCCTTTAAAGTTGAGCAGACCACTTTTGAAGAGGAAGTGTGAGCTTTCTCTGTGGTAGCAAACCTTATTTAGGGCTTGTAATTATGTCTAGGGTCATTATTAGTCTACTTCCCTCCATTAACCAGGATTTGATGTTATCCCAGACTGCTTACTTAAAAACAACTAGTAAAACAAAAATAAGGACTCTGAGGCTGATTCTGTTAGTGATTCTTTCAGATGAGTTTGCTTTTTGATAGGACTGGGAGTTAGAATTAATTATAAAGCTGTTCTTTTTTTTAACCATTACTCCAGGGTACCTACAGGGCTGGGACTTCCCAAGGAAAATAAACAGTTCATTTTTGAGCTAGGTTTCTTTGTCCTTCACAGGATATACAGCAATACTAAAACAGAGAACAAATAGAGAATAGAAAAAGTCCTCCATTACAGTCGCTCAAATGTAAATCTTTTTCTCCATCATATGGAGTATTACCACATCTCTTGTTTTCATGTACTTCTTCCGGCTTCTTACTTCATTTTCTTCTGTGGCTCATGTTGCTCAGGAGTTTACGAAGTGCCCTGATAAAAATGTTGGTACTGTTTTGTAGCCCAGTTTATCACAGTAGTGTTAGGATGTGTAAAGTCCTAACTTACAAGTGTAAAAGATTTCAACGGAAATCAGGAGTTGGCAGCATGATCATTTTTTCAAACTCACCAGTGTCCTCTTGTGTTTTCTTTCTCCTAGCTATCTGCTCTGTGCAAGCGCTTAGACCACCTGTGGGAAGAGCACCATGGCAGCGTGGTCCTTTTTGCCTGGATGCAGTTTCTTAAGGAAGAGACTCTAGCACACCTGAATATTGTCTCTCCTTTTGAGCTCAAGATGGGTTCTCAGAAAAAAGTACAGAGAAACACAGCTCAAGCCTCTACCACCACAGAGCTAGATTTTGGAGGAGCTGCTGGATCTGATGTAGATGAAGAGGAGATTGTGGACGAGAGAGCTGTGCAGGATGTGGAATCGTTGTCAAGTCTGATCCGGGAAATCTTAGACTTTGATCAAGCTCAGCAGATCAAATGCTTTAATGGTAAATCGTTCCTGTGCAATATCTGTTTCTGTGAGAAGCTGGGTAGTGAATGCATGTACTTCATGGAGTGCAGGCACGTGTACTGCAAAGCCTGTCTGAAGGACTACTTTGAAATCCAGATCAGAGATGGCCAGGTTCAATGCCTCAACTGCCCGGAACCAAAGTGCCCTTCGGTGGCCACTCCTGGTCAGGTAACTGTTTACGGTGCTAATGGTTGTCTTCTAATTCTCTTTCACAAAGGGAGACATCTTCTCAGGAGCTTCCTTGATAGGGCACATGGGGGCAGTGTGAGGTCTGGGAGCCACCTACAGGTTGTTTCACTGTGTCCATGAAGAATGCTGTAGTTTTACTCTGCCTTTTAAACAAATGTAAATGCTTCCTTTGCTGGCCTTGGAATGGGCAGTCCTAGGCAAGGATGAGAGTGAAAAAAGTAATTATGAAGTAAGTATGATTTACTTTGTATATCTGCTCAAATCCCACCAACCTTGGGGAATCATTAGACTGTCTTTATGTGGGGCTGAAGGGCCATCCTCTGGAGTGATTAGGTGAATCATTTACAGACTTCAGCAAAAGTATAGCTACTTGTTTTTTTTGTTTTTTGTTTTCTAATCAATTTAATTAAGGCATATATTACTTGCAAAAACAGTACACCTTTGAATCATACAGTTTGCTTAGTTTTGACAAATGTGTAGACCCATGTAACCCCATCTCATTGAAGATGAAACCATCTCATTGGTTTCATTTTGAAGTGAGAAGGAGATTTTAATTTATGTGCCCTTCTGGTTTACACAAACATCCTAAGAATATCCTTGGGATCAGAACTGCTTGCGGAATGATGAAACCTGTGGTGTTTTGTATTCCCCTCCAGGTCAAAGAGCTAGTGGAAGAAGAGTTATTTGCCCGTTATGACCGCCTTCTCCTTCAGTCTACCTTGGACCGGATGGCAGATGTGGTGTACTGTCCCCGCCTGTGTTGCCAGCAGCCTGTGATGCAAGAGCCTGGCTGCACCATGGGCATCTGCTCCAGCTGCAATTTTGCCTTCTGTACCTTGTGCAGATTGACCTACCACGGGGTCTCTCCATGTAACTTGACTGCAGGTACATTGTTAGTGTGTGGACCCAATGTGCCTTGCCCTCCACCTCCTTCCCATTGTCTAACCCTCCCCACCCTTCCAAAAGTACTATGACTTTAGTTCCTCAATTCTTCACTTTGGAAGTATTCACTCAATAGACATTTCTGTGTCAGTTACTGTCCTAGGCTCTGGGAATATAGTAGTGACCAGAAGAGACAAACTCTCTGCCCTCATGGAACTTATATTCTAGTGGGAGAAACAGGCAAACAAAGTAAGGATATTAGATGGTGGTAAGTGCTAAGGAGGAAAAAAGCAAAGGGACTGGATATGAAATGTTCCGAAGGGCAGGGAACTTGTGGTTTTTTTAGGGAAACTGGGGTGGCCTCACTGACAACATGGTTTAAGTTAAGACTTGAAGGAAGTAAGGAAAACCATGCCACTATCAGGGGGAACATTCCAAGAAAAGGAATGGCATGGTAATTTTTACCTGTAAACGTAGATCCAGATGGCAAATGCAGGGCATCTAAGCTGCCATTCTTGTTTCCATGGCACATATGTCTGATGAGTCATCAGATGCTTTCTCACTGAGCACAGGGAGGCCTCAGAATCTTCCTCAGCATGGTGCTTCAGAAAGCCACCCTCTGGGGCCAGCCCGTGGCTCACTCGGTAGAGTGCGGTGCTGATAACACCAAGGCCCCGGGTTCGGATCCCATATAGGGATGGCCGGTTCGCTCACTGGCTGAGCGTGGTGCTGACAACACCAAGTCAAGGGTTAAGATCCCCTTACCGGTCATCTTTTAAAAAAAAAAAAAAGGAAAGCCACCCTCTGTTGAAGGAGGCACCATAAGTGAAACCTGTTTTCCAATTTGATCTAGGTAGGGATTGGGAAATCAGGTCCTTGAAATCCATTTATCTAGACTTTAGTGGCTTAGTCTTTCTCAGGCTAACAGAGTCAATGATAGTAGCTACTTCGTAGGGTTATTCTAAGGATGGAAATGAACTAATGTAGAGCCACTCAAAGTTGTTATATTTGTTATACTGGTGTATGATGGGATGAATATAAAGGTTGAGAGTCAGGGTTAGAGAATTTTATAGCTATTTCACAGAGTAATTTTATGTCAGTCAAATCTAATAAAAATTTAGGCTTGTAGTTTTTGTCTTTCCTTACATTTTTCTAACATTTCATTTAATTATATTTTGCAAAAATATTCATCCTTGACAGACTGGGGGAAAATCTAGTTCTTTACTATATATAGTTTGAGGAACAATGGGCTAATACATGTAAAATGCAAAATGGTAGCTATTAATACTGTTATTATCATCATACTAATTTCTTATGTTAGCAGACTGTCATTATTTCCAAGAAAGTATCCTGAGAGGAGAGTGTGAGTACAGAAATCCAGTTGCTCAGGGCAGTCTTAAAGAGGGTAAGGGCTGGTGGGATGGAGAACTTTCCAGAATATAATGTAAACCTTTACTTTAGATCTTTGTAACCTTATCATGGAGAGGCTGCAGTGCATTTTAGGTGTGTCACAGCATTCGGGGTAGAATTGAAAATACTCTGGGGGTTTCAGCAAAATTAAGAATCTCTCTCTCTTTATATATATTGTATATTGAATGACATACTAACAATTTTATTATTTTGAGAACATTGCAGCAATAACCTTTGTCCTTCATATGTGTAGGAAGACAAAAATGCTTTGAATTAGTAGAGGGATAAAAGTGACAAGATTAATAAGATCTGTCTGTTACATTGAAGTAGAGGTGATGGAGCCACAGGAATGCACAACACAGAGAAAGGAAAATAGTGCAGATGGGATTCTGTCTTGGAAGATGTCCATTGCTTTAAAAGGGAGACATACCTCTAAATATTATGAGGAAAGTAAACTAATAAAATAACTACAACATTGTTGAGAAACATCTTTAAGTAATTATGTTGAAAATTAAGGTCATAGAATTGCGAATAGAAGCCTTTTATCTACAAATAAAGGCCTTGGGAATGGTTGCCTGTTAAGTGATAGAGCAGTGGATGCCAGGTTGAAGATCATCAAGGGAAGATGTTGACAGGAGGAACTTTCCAGCACTTGTAACAAATCATAGTACAGGTTGAGAGTGAGCATGGTAAATTAAAGAAAAATTTTTTTCTGCTTCTATTTTTTCAAATGAGGTTGGCAAATTTTATTCACTGATTTTTTTTTTTTTTTAAATATAGACTTGAACAATTCGTTTTTGCCCTTAAGCCAAAGGCACCTGTGTGTATTTGTTAGGTCTTGTTCAATATCAAATGTTGAATGATGCTGACTTAGTGGAAAATCGGTGTGTGTTTTCAACCTTTGTGTCTTTTAGATAAGTCCATCTTTATCTGTATACAATTAGTTGCATAAATATATCAACATTAAGAAATCAAAATTGAAGGAAAAAAATAACCTATTATTCTGCCACCTTTAGCAAATCCATCTTTTCTGATTGAGGGATTGCTTTCTCTTCTTGTCATTTCTGTAAATGTAATTTTTACCTAGTGTTTCTGGATTCTGTAATGAGTATTTTTGTTTGTTTGTTTGTTTTTGGCGGCTGGCTGGTACAGGGATCGAGCCCTGGACCTTGGTGTTATCAGCACCATGCTGTAAGCGATTAAGCTAAGTGGCCAGCCCCAGTAATGAGTGTTTTAATTGGGTTGTAGCCATACTAATTATAAGTTTTTAATAACTGGATCATATGTCATTAAATGCCTCTTCCACACAGTTATTTCCTTAGAAATTTAATTTGTAGGGCCGGCCCGGTGGCGCACTGGAGAGTGCGCCACTTGGGAGTGCAGCGGCGCTCCTGCCGAGGGTTCGGATCCCATGTGGAGACCGGTACCCGCTCACTGGCTGAGCGCGGTGCGGGCGCAACACCAAGGGTTGCGATCCCGTTGCCGGTCAGTAAAAAAGATAAATAGGAAAAAAAAAAAAAGAAATTTAATTTGTTTACCATTGTTATATGCATCTGCATGCATATGACTTTACTTTGGATTATTTCCTTATGATAAAGTTCCAGGAATAGCACTAATGAGTAGTCTAAGATTATGGCCATTTTTAGTGACGTTTAGTCAGCATTGAAATGTATTAAAGTTAATTTTTCATTTCACTAATAGACTCTCAAGATGATGACCTGCAAGCACGTGTGGCCAATAAACGATTTTTGAGATCGAGGTGTCGTAAGAGGGACATTGTGAGGGAAGAGAAGAAAAGTAAGCAGTGGCTAAAAACGAACTCAAAGAGCTGCCCGTGCTGTGGGACTCCCACAGAGGTAAATGTTTTGGTACAGACTTGGAGGCAAACAGATTTGCAATCATGTTATCATTGCCTTAAGAAGCCTATTGGTCCATTTTATGAATTATTAGTCCATTATTTATGACCTGTACTATGAAAACACATTTAGTATTTGTTTAGCCTTCTTACTTGGAAGATGCACATTTCGCTACTAAATATTGTTATTGACGTTACATGTATTTACGCTTTCCTTTTCAAAGTGCTTTCATACAGTGACAATTGTTCTTCCATTATGTGCACCTCAAAATTGAATGAGTTATGAGGAGGGCATACTATAGTTGTAATAAACTCTTAACTCATCTATGTGATAAAAAAATATCACATCTGACTTCTCAGAACTATTTGTCCTGAAATGTAGCACACCTGATGAATACACTGAGTATACACTCAGAAAATGGAGACCTTTTTCCATTTAGCTGAACCAAGTAATTGGAAAATCTATTGTTTCTTGACAAAACTTTCACATGTTTTGAAATCAAAATATATCTTTGCATCTGATTCTACTGTTGCCGTCTGTTATATCTGAACTGACCCAGTGGTATTCCCCAATTACTCCATTAAGGAAACTGGCATTGTGTTTAACCACTTCTGACATGCCTTAGTGCTATGTGTTTTAGTCCGTTTTGTGTTGCTATAACAGAATTACCTGAGACTGGGTAATTTATAATGAAGAGAGGTTTATTTGGCTTACAATTCTGGGACAGCTGCGTCTGGCATGGGCCTCAGGTTGCTTCTACTCATGGCAGAAAGTGGCAGGCTGCCAGTGGGTATGACCAGATCACATGGTGAGAGGAAGCAAGAGAGAGAGAGAAGGTGCCAGAGTCTTTTTAAGCTACGAGCTCTCGTGGGAACTAACAGAGTGAGAACTCACTCATTAATCCCCCCTCCCCCAGGGAGAGCATTAATCCATTCATGAGGGATCCGCTCCCATGACTCAATCAGTTTCCAACACTGCCATATTGGAGATCAAATTTCCACATGAGTTTTGGAGGCAAGTTCACTCATTATATTTGGTCTCTTTAGTCTCTTAATATAGAATAGTTTTGACCCACCTTTTGTCTGTGTATATATTAAGGGGGACACTCACTTTTTGAAGAGTCCAAGCCAGTTATCCTGTATAACATCTTACCCTTTAGAGTTTTGTTTCTCCATGGTGTCTTTTAGCTTCTTTCTCTATCCTCTTTATTTACTGTAAGCTGGAAGTTAGGTCTAGACTGAAGTTTGATTAGATTTGGAGTAACATTTTTAACAGGAACACTTCATGATGGGTGATGTGTACATTGTATCACATCAGGAGGCCCATAATGTCAGGCTGTCTTTCTGTTAATGTGATGCTCAGTTCCATGATTTGCTTTATTGTAAAGGTAAGTTTTCCATTTTGTTATTAGTAATCTGTGGGGTGATTCCTTGGCACAATGTGAATGTCCAGTTTTCCAGGAGCTCTCCAATTAAAGCATCAGTTGATGATCTTGATAATGGGTATCTGTAGAGTACCTGCACTCATTTGCATTATGAAACTATCAGAGAAATTGAAGAAACAAGCCTTGCCCATGAATTGTTGGAAATCTAGTGTTGGAAATTGCATAAATTTTAGGTAACATAAGGGAAGGAAGAAAAACTGACAAGTGTAAAACATTCTACAAATGGAGAGTGCAAGGACTGTGGAGATGGACAATGGAGTGATGATTAGTATGTAATAGAGATACAGTGTAATAAAAAAAAAAGAAAGAAAAAACAGACAAACAAAAAATAGAGTTATAGGGCCGGCCCGTGGCTCACTCGGGAGAATGCAGTGCTGATAACGCCAAGGCCCCAGGTTCGGATCCCATATGGGGATGGCCGGTTCGCTCACTGGCTGAGTGTGGTGCTGACAACACCAAGTCAAGGGTTAAGATCCCCTTACCGGTCATCTTTTAAGAAAAAACAAAAAAAAATAGAGTTATAATATCTTGAAAGAGTTCAGCTTCTAGATTGCCTCACTCCCCCAATCTTGGCTTATTCCACACATTGTATACATTGAGCATCAGTTTTGTGATACCCATCCCCCTTATTGTTTATCCTTGGCTCTAGAGAGTTTGTCCTGATCCTGAAAGGGGATCAGGATCAAGGGCTGTTCTTGCAAATGTAAGGCAGTTTGTTCAGGGTGACCTAAATTTCAGGTCTTCTCAGTAGAGAGATTAATGGAAATGATGTACAAAGATGTTATCAGAAGAGTATAGAAAGATTTTTTGAGAGAAGGAAAGACATTATATTCAGTTTTGTCCACGTGCATAAAAATGTACCTTATTTTCTGCTTCCAGGTTGTAATATCCTGTGAATGTTAATAGAAGACTAGTTTCCTCATTCTGCTCAAGATATGGAGATGGAATGGTTTGCCCTAGTCTTTCATCCGGTACACAAAGCAACCTTGCAGGATATATAGGGTGCCATTCATTCACTCTTCTTGTGTAGAAGATATGGAAGAACAAGGTTTATATTTTCATGTAGTTCTACTGATTAAGACACATTCATACATTTTTTCACTGTAACATAAATAAGAAAAATTATAAGGGCAAAGGTTCTGAAAATGAAAACTTCAGAATATTAAATATTTTAATATGCACAAAGCTCTGAATAGTTAAAAATTAAATGTTTATTTTCTTCCTCAAGCTGTAAGGAGGGGTAAAGAGTTAAACTTATAGGCCCTTTTGTCTCTGAAAAGCATCTCTCTAAGACATTCTGCTGGAGCCCCCTCAGTACTAAGAGGGTTCTTAGAAGCCTTATTAAAAATGGACTGTGGAAGATGATGGAATAGACAGTCCCTAGCATCACTCTCTCCCAAAAATCAACCAATTTACAACTATAAAAATGCAACAATGGCCAAGATGGGGCCGCTAGAGCTCAGGGGAAGAGGAGGAGAGACCTACGGAGTGCATGAAGGTGGGAGAAGCCACAATGAGAGAAAGAAGAAACCTCTCTGATAATTTCTTGCATGGCCACTGTAAGGCTGGAGCTGCTGAGCGCATGGAGCAGAAACTGGCGAAAGCTGCTGCTGTGCCCTTTGGATGGAGTTGCTTGGAGGTGGCAGGGAAGAAGAGGTCATTGGTGGCCCCCAGGCCAGGAAGACCACTAATAGGGTTCCCATGTACCCACATAGAAACAATGAGCCACAACAACTGGAAAAAAGGAGCTACTCAGAAGCCGGTGAGTCATTGCATGGGACCTGTGCACAGTCTGTCCATGGGGAGTGTTTGCAGCACAGGCGGTAGGGGAGACAGGCCCACCAGGGGAACACTGGGGCAGAGCAAGGACAGCTGACTGGCACCCCAATCAGTGAAGGAACACTCAGAGGAGACTGGTCAGGAATATAGAATTGCATGGGGTGCAGTTTGATGAAAAGACTCAGTCCCAGATCAGAGTTTCTACACAACCCAGGTGCACTGGGTCTCTGGAGAGCCGGAAGTACCTATAAGGTCCACCATTAAAACCTGAGCAGCAGCAAAGCAGCAACTTAGCTCAACCACACAGCTCAAGTACTGGTTCCTGCAGGAAGTTCCCTCAGTTTAGAAGTAAGCAAAGGACAAAAATTTAGTTCCAGCCCAGGCACACCGCCAGTGCCTCGGGGCCCGCCCAGGGACCTGAGGCATGGATCTGGGAACCAGAATCCCCCCCAGCAACTAGGCACACCGCCAGTGCCAAGGAGCATGCCAAAAACATTACCTCCATGTGGGTGGCCCACCACAGCCACCAGAATAGCCATGGCTGCTGTGAAAGTGGCTAGACGCCACAATCGCCACACAGATGGTCCACCAGCCACTGAAGTGCATTAACACAAGGAGAGTCACCAGCAGAGACCAAAGAGAAGAAGAGGATGTCTCTCTCCACAAAGTACATTCCAGAGTGACAGAAGCAGTATCTGCTCTACAATAATAGTGGGGGACCTGAACACACCTCTCAGCATTGGACACATCATCTAGGCAACAAATCAATAGAGTAACCATTACTCTTTCAGAAGGAATGTAGGTTATCACGGGGGGTCGGGGGAGGGAGAAGGAGATAGGGCAATACTGGACAAGGAGCATAAAGAGTAAGTACGATTTGTAACAATATATATGTTAGTAATGTTGATGTGATCAACATATGTCAACATTGAACCCCCAAAATATGTGTAATCAATTATGATTCAATAAAAAGTTTTTTTAAAAAAATGGATTGGGGGTCCGGCCTGGTGGCGCACTGGAGAGTGCGCCACTTGGGAGCATGGCGGCGCTCCCGCCGAGGGTTCGGATCCCATGTGGAGACCAGTTCGTGCTCACTGGCTGAGCGCGGTGCGGGCGCACCACCGAGGGTTGTGATCCCATTGCCGGTCCCCGGTACGGGCGCGACACTGAGGGTTGCGATCCCGTTACCAGTCAGTAAAAAAGACAAAAAAAAAAAAATGGATTGGGGCCTAATCTCTTTTAGTCTATGTTACATTTCTTCCAACCTAAATTTCTGTGAAGTTAATTCTCCCTTTGGGGGGAAGCCCTTTACTCTATAACTGATTGTGTGGCCCAGTGTCATTTTGATCTACTGCCTTTCAGAATACAATGTTATAATAATTTTAAAAGTATTTTTTAACACCATACACACTGTGCGTATTTGATATTTATTAGTGGGGTTTACAATCCACTGGTTTAGAGCCAAATCTAGGGTTTAATGATACTGACTCAGAAGAATTTCAGCCCTGTTCAACTTTCCTAGTCAATAGAGCCTGAACTCAAAACAGCTTGCCTTTGCTACCTTTTGTTCCACCTTCTCTCCTTTTACCCTCACCCTACTTTCTGTTGGGAAGGACAATTTTAGTATTAACTCCAGCAGCACTTGCTTTTATTTCCTCTCTGGGATAGGAGAAAGTCTAATTAATTTCCCAGCTGAACAAGCTGAACATTCTTTAATTATCTGCTTTTTGAACCTGTTCACACACCACTGTAGTTCCTAATTTGCTAACTTTCGGAATTCTTTTTTTGAAAGTATTCTCTAAATAGCTATGAAAATTCGGCTTATCACCCTTTTCTGCAACAGCAGTGTTTTGGGTGAGCATTTTGGTTTGATACCTAGATTCTTATTTCTGGGTTTTGTTGGCTTTTTGAAAAATTGTGTTTGCTTATGGCTTGGTGAGTGGCTTGGTAGCAGAATAAGATTTTTTGAAAAAGAGACAGCAGAATTCCACTGCAGCTTGTGAACATGTTCTTTTCAGCTACCTTGTTATTGAAAATTGGAATCAGTTTTAATTGCTTTAGATGGTGTGTGTCCAAAGAGGCAGCAATGACTGTGTACTGGATCGTCAATGAGGATGCTTAATCTTAAAAATAAGAATAATTTTAAAAATCACCTGAAAATCATAACAGTTGCTGCCATTTGTTCAGTTTCCAAGGCAAATGATCACATTTTAGAAGTCTATTTTGCATATCTTCTTATGTGAGAAGAAGAAAGTCCCAGAAAACAGGGCTGGCCCGTGGCTCACTCGGGAGAGTGTGGTGCTGATAACACCAAGGCCATGGGTTCAGATCCCACATAGGGATGGCCGGTTGCTCACCAGGTGAGTATGGTGCTGACAACACCAAGTCAAGGGTTAAGATCCCCTTACCAGGCATCTTTAAAAAAAAAAAAAAAGTCCCAGAACAC